GGCCGTGGAGTTCACCACAAGGTGCCCGGAGCCATTGACTTGGCCTGGGACCCCCAGGGCCTGGAGGGGTTTAAAGAGACATGGAAACAGGGCTTCTTAACCAGGGTGGGGTCTGAAGTGGGCATCAGGGCTCCCCACTTGAACTGCCCATAAAATGGGGCAAGAGTATGCACACGTGAGTCATTCTGGCAGAGGATCTATGACTGACCAGGTTCTCAAAGCGCCTGAGGGTCCCACATCGGTAGCCCGGTGCCATTCAGTTTCTCCCACCTCACCTCCTACCTCCCACCTCCCTAAACCATGAGGGATCGCTTCTTTGCATGCAAGAGAACCAAGTCCTGTGAAACAAACTGGCAGCTGCGGAACGTGCATCTCCCCACCTCTTCTGTCCCTTCCCCTCCGCCTCCCTAGGCACAGAACCCAAACACCTGCTCTCAAGAGGCAGATCGGAGCCCATCCGGGAAGCAGGCTGCTAGGCTGGCCCATGTGGGCGTCTCTTTCCTGCCAGCAGATCCCAAGTGCAGCATGTATCTGCTGTTTCGTCTAATCCTGACAGTGGAAGAGATCTTTGAACCCCATTTTATGGATGGTGAAACTGAGGCCCAGAGAGGAACGATGATTCGCTCAAAGCCACCAGAGACAGGGGCAGCACTGCAGTTCCGTCGGGCACTTCCTGGCCTCACAAGTGGCCTTCCCGAGCGCCTGGTACAGCTGCCTGACACAGCACGCACCCCATTAACCCTCCCCTCCTCTTGAAACCCCTCTCCTCCCCAGCCTCGAGCTCTTCTCCCGGCTTTTTCTTCTTGGTACCCTCAGCCGCTTCCCTTCCACGCCTTCAGATTTGCAGCCTGAGTGGTTAGTCTCCACCCACCCCAGAGCCACCTCGGCCAGTCTGTGACTTTAAATGTGACCACCTAGAGGTGGAGGCCTCCAGTCCAGATCACAGCTGACCCCTTGACTCCAAAAGCACCCCCAGTATCTCCACTTGGGCGTTTAACAGTCCTGTCAAATTTAACACATCCACAAGGGGACTGTGAGTCAGTGACATCCCAACCCCAACTTTCCTCCTCCGCCCACCATTCTCCCCATCACGGGGAACAGCAGCCCCCACTCTCTTGTCACGCGGGACAAAGCCAGAGGTGCCATCCGGCTCCCCTCTTTT